ACAAAGTAGATACAGTTTGTGGATAACAACTTCTTTGCTTGACAACGGTCACCGAAACGTCACCTTTACAGTATTAAAGAAGTTGTTATCCACAAATTGTGTCTACTTTGTCCATTAGACAAAATGATGACCAGATTCACTGATGTCCAATTACAAGTTTATTACTAATCACAATCATACAGTGTTAAATGTAAGGATACAGCCATAACAAGACAATACAGAACGTTGTAGCTCATTACAAGGACACCGTTACATCACACACACATACATGTAATACAATGGTCAATAATGATGACAAAACAAATAACTTCACATTCATATTACCAACTAAATATGTTACGGCACATTTTCTGAAATAAATGCTATTCATGTTAAGATTGCCCTGACAGTTTTTGGAGGTGATTGTAGGCCATACAGAAAGATGACAAACTTGCTACATAGAGCACTCACACTTTCAGTTTATCATCAGAAGTTGAATTTTCAAACAAATATTTACAACATTGAATCGGTGTGTGAAACAACAGCAATCCTGACACCAGCTTCTGTGAGCTATATTCACAATTATTGATATGAACATATCTCAAGTTATTCCCACAGACATTTGATCGAGGTGCTTTGACTGTTATGGTATTTCACTATCACATATTGTTTTCTCTTAGTCTGATTTCGTTTCTTGTAAAATTCTGATTTTGTTCAACCCAGCTACTTTGTTAACTTGTAGATTGACTGAGTCAGTGCTGGCATCTGTGTGTTCACTGCACATGTACACCACTGCTAACACATGTACACCACTGTGCTCATGTAAGTGTCTTCATCACCGAAAATAGGTATCAGCAGCTTTCTTGACACAAAATATTACTCTATCAGTTCCCCCGATTTGGAAGACAGTGGGGCAGTAATGATCCTCCAAAATTTGAGAAAATAGAAATTGATGAAAAACATGCACAGTATAAAGTAATTGCTAGAAAGGATATGAATTTGAAATTTATAAGGTTTTACAATTTATTGGGGGGAAAAATACCAGCACATCTTTAGAAAGCATATGAGGCCCCTCTTCAGCCTAACAAGACACATCATACTTCCCTGTCAGAATGATGAGATCTGATTGGTGCACATGATCTTGATAAAATACTTTGTATTCCACCTTAGGGGGAAGTAAATTTCCCAGCAAAGACAATAAATACCTTATACCCCACCAAGAGCAAGTCAGGCTGCACGTGGATTTCTCAGGGGGAGAATAAATTCATTATACCCCACCACGAGCAAGTCAGGCTGCACATGGATTTCTCAGGGGGAGAATAAATTCCTTATACCCCACCACGAGCAAGTCAGGCTGCACATGGATTTCTCAGGGGGAGAATAAATTCCTTATACCCCACCACGAGCAAGTCAGGCTGCACATGGATTTCTCAGGGGGAGAATAAATTCCTTATACCCCACCACGAGCAAGTCAGGCTGCACATGGATTTCTCAGGGGGAGAATAAATTCCTTATACCCCACCACGAGCAAGTCAGGCTGGACGTGGATTTCTCAGGGGGAGAATAAATTCGGCCGCGTGTAATGCAATAACAACAATAGAAACAATGGCTTCCAGTATTTATTCTGGACTTGAGTAACCGTGAGAGACCTAAAAATACTCAAATAACCGTGTAGTTACACACGTTATGTCCATGTACATTGTACATAAAGCACATACAGGGAGCCGGCTGTGTCCGGGTTTTTCATAACTTTGACATTATTTATTAACCAATCACAGCCTTGGTCGCACATTGGTTTCGTTACAAGGCTTATTCGGCTTTGTAATGTACTGTCATCGATCGATAATGTGAGTAGGTCGGCGATCGGACCAATTTTCTTCCTAAAAACTTAGAATATAACGACACTTATTTACATTCTACATGTATAACATCCAGTCGTAAAATAATACACAGTACTTTGATTGATTTACACAAAGTATTTTTATTTTTTTACGCATGCATTTTGAATCATCGTCCACGATCAGTGTTACATAGATCTACATGTCCCATGCCACTGTGAAATAATTGCGCCACTGTTCCATTCACTACCATCATTACGTAATGTGAACCTCAGCAATGAATATCTGTACAACGCTCTTTCCTAGAACGCGTGGTCGGTTTCTTGGACCCCGATGACAGCGGTATATCGCGGCATCACTGTATCCACTATAATCCAGGCATATCTTGGAGGAGGTTGTGCTGTCACTAAAGAGACAGTTCCTTGTGCACATGTTGAATTGTCTTGTGTGGCTATATACAGAGCAAAGACAGAGAGACTACTCAGATACAGCTTTTGGCACAATATTCACAAATAGATATACAGCATAATATCCTCATAGGGAAATAATAAGACAAGACCTTTAGTCTCATTGTATTCATAACTCATAGTAATGATTTTCCAAATTGGAAATAGAAGATACAACCCCTCCCAAAATAAGGATATGATCAGACTCTCTTTGAAAACTCTAAAGAAATGTTGTGGGGTGTAACAAGAACAGCAGGCACAACAATCTTGCTGCGTGATTCACTGATGAAGACATGAGATGGTTTGCCTTCAGATATCTTTGGTGAAAAGTGAGTTGGGTTCGAGTTATATCACGGTGTGTCAGCTTAATGTGGGAGGAAAACACAAGTATGGTGCTGAAAAACCTAGAAACATAATCAAGGAGATCCAGGATTCAAACCCACAGTCATAGGTTTATGACGTGCCCAAGGGAAGCAACTCTGCACAGCAAATTGTGGAGCCTGAAATGAATGGGCCACCCATGTCCCCTTTTGGTGAATCTAATGTAGATATATTTCACTAAACTGTTGTCCATTTTTCTTGCATGTCATGGTTGATATTTTTGGAGACTGTTGGTAAAAGAACTTGGCCATGAATAATAACGGTAATATAAATCATAATAATAATAATTGATAAATTGCATTTTCTTTTATTACAGCATTTGCAACAAGACAAAATGCAAATCGGTTTGTCTCCTGCCCTCTGTTCCTTTTATTGTGCCCTTTACATGACATCAAATATCAAGTCATTTTCCCTACACGATTGCCAATTTTAGATCCAGATTAAAATCTAAATTTGATACGGTATTGAGTTCCTCTCAAACACCTCCATAGACTGCCCACACATTTGATGATAGTGTTACACACTCTGACAATGAGCTGCTGTTTGTGCAACCTTGAGGTGTCCCCGATCCCTGTCAGTATGGAATGGTTCCACTAAGTGACAGGCGATATGACATTTACTGTCAATATGACATGTTAAGATGTCTCTCATGAAGTAATGAAACAGTCAGTGAACTACCATCTTGACTTGTGAGCCTTTCATTGTCTCTCCACACAAAACTATCTGACTGCTTCTCATATTTTTTTCATGGAAATTTTATTGTGTTTTTCCACACATGTAACAATTATTGTATCCGTGTTGGTGCAGATATCAAACGCCTCTTTCCAGTTTTACCGTCTGCAGGCCAAAGTCACCATAATAAATGTAATTAGAGATAATTAATTGTGATATGTCCACCCACTGAAGTTTTATACAGCTATAAAATGCAACAATAAACCAAAGGTTAATAGTTTGCATCATGCTTAGAACTTGCATGTAGATAGCTAGAATATTGGTATTATTTGTTTGGCAAAGATGCGAAATGGACTAGATATGTCAAATATTGTATTTTGACATAAGACAGCGCTTACAAAATTGATGTTAGTGGGTGCTTATTTTCAGAGATGGGGTGATAGTGAAAAATGTTGATAAACTAAAACAATTTAGATAATAGCTTCCAGCTTCATGTAAAAGAAATCTGTAATATAGACAAGAAAATATGGACTGTCACTTACGGTAAATTATCAATCTCTATAAAGGGTGCTTATAAAGATTACTTAGAGATTGGTCTCGAAGTTGCTGTGTGTTGGGTGGTGTGTCGCTTATTGCAACAGGGCGCTTAGTGCAGCGAATCTAATATAGGTGTTAGTTGTTTGGACAAGATGACTAAACTTGTCAGGCCCATATTTATAAAACTGCAGCTTATTGACATATGAATCGACACATCATTTTTCTGCAGGACACAAGAACCCGTACAAATTTTAAACTTTGGGCCAGACATGAGATCTACCTGCCATGGGCCTACGGGCATGCGCTTATTTCGAACACTACCAAGATGGGAACTGGTAGAGCGTAACTCCTATCCCTGATGTCTGTATATGGATGTGGTCCCCGCTGGAACTGTGCACTGATGTTTGTGTATGGTCTGCTAGTAATCACTGATGCACAGCACCCTTGGTCTGTCCCTGACTACCCAGTTGACCGAAATCTGTGTCCTTTTTATCAAATGTTGTTGAATTAACCTACTTTACTTGGATGATATCTCCCAATGGACATCATATGGCGCACACATATATGTAATATGTAGAACTTTTGTGGATCCTTGGCATACAGTTATGAATCATTGATATATTTGTGTTAAATTTCATCACAAGTGCAGATTTCAATACTTGTGGGAGTAATGTGTCTGAATATGTGACAGGTTTGAATAACAAAACTGCATACAGGAATATTTATCTGAAGCCAGTAAAGGTTATGATGATGTTTCAGCAGGGATGGAAAAATGTGCATCTGTTTAAAGTTGCTGAATTAACATTACACCAGCTAGTGTGCCTTCAGACAGTTCTATGTCAATCTCATTAAAATCAGATCTTAGTTCCTGCTACCGCTAAACAAAGATCTGAGGACATCCCGTTACGGGTCATGTCAGACTGACCTTGTGCAAACTCTGACCGACCAATGGAATGACCAATCAGAAGGCAGCTTTCTCGTGCTTTACGGCACAAATTTCAAATTGGCGACTACGCTTCGAAACATATTTTGACAAATTCTCGATTACAAATTTGAAACCTGACAAAAAACATTCTGGAATGGTCTAGATTGTATGGATTCAGTCGTTAAACCCCATGTTAAAGTTTTCGAGATTGCATGATTAGAAATCACATTCCGACTGTTACTTTCATAATCTGGTAAGCGACGCACTGATAGGTCGGATGAAAGGTCTTTCTGACGTGACCCCTAATGTCTTCGAGAACTGAGGTCTGATTTTAATTGGTTCTATGCCCACAATGGACAGCTAAACTGGATGTTGTTGACTGTTGTTTCCCAGGTCAACACATTCAGCTGCATTTAAAATTAGGTGGGTCCTGGTCCTTTAAGTTTTGCCCAATAGCATATGAAACTAGAGACCCCAATATCTGTGATGTTAAACATCGGGGTATGACAAGGACCCCTTGACTTTCATTTTTAGTTTTACTCACTGGTAGGACAACTACCAGAGTCATCTTGACTGTCAGGGTCATTTTCTGTGGACTTTAGTCGTAGTATAGCTGAACAGACTGAATTGAAATGAGTTTTTGGTCTGGGGCTTTGGTCAAGTAGCTCTTGATACAGACTGCACATTGAACAAATAAAACAGATGTTTAACATCAGAAGATATTGTCATGGGACATGAGTGCCATGCTGGGAATGCTGTTTGCTCTATCGCTAACTTAGAAATCACATACTCAGGCAGGCTTGGGACTTAAGCATAAACTATTTTGACTTTATCTCTAAGAGTTTCAATGAGTCAAGACTAACAGAAGTCAAAATGTTTTAGAAACATAACAGCTTTAGGAGAGAATAGTGATTTGTATGTCTTGTCAGTTGTAGTTTCCTGACTTGTGTGAAACACAGTTACAACATGGAACATGAAACAGTGAAATGTACAGATCCAGGTCACACTTTCAACATGAGCATAAAGTCATCAGTTGAAAACACCATCCTTCAATCGCGCAACAAAAGCTCTGTGTAAAACCTTATGTCATCATTTCCTGTGAAAGGAAGGACTCCCAAGTCTAGCACATCTCAACCCAGTGTAGTTAATCCAAGACAACCATCTGCAAGTGCACAGTTGACTCTCAGTATCTGACACCATTACCTTGACATAATATTTTACATGTATCAATTGTTGGGGGACTCCCACGTTCAAGCTGCACTTCACATGTAAAGAGTATCTGGCTAAATATGAACTCTATCTCATTGAGTGAATGAGACAATGCATACTTTCCTTAGTGACCCAGCACTGTCTATGTTAATGTACTTATGGAATGAGAAATAAACATTAGGAACACATTTGTCTGGCATATGTTCCCCAAAGCTAACCCCCATATACTGGGATGGTCTGTGCACACAACATTGGAGATAACGGAAGTCAAGTTAATGGACATACAAAATGATTGTGTTAATTAGGCTATGAATTGAAGAAAGCAAACTTTCCCACATGAAGAAATTTCAAGATCCTTGTTGAAATCACTAATCTTCAAATAGAAGGTATCCAGAAAATGATGAGTAGTCATTCATGAGAGCAGACTTTTCCGAGAGCTGCAACCATACGTGATCATCAGTCACAAGGTGAAGGATGATTGTGTTGCTTCCTGTCCCATACCCTGCCCGTCTGTCCCCGTGCAGCGCCATCTTGTGTTCATTGTTCAACATAATCCACACATATGCATCATGCTGGTCTTGCCCCAGAACATGGGTAGTAAATAAATAGGTGCCATTGACCTTGCACACAAACTGAGAGGAATATAGGTCAAAACTTTCACCCAAGTTGGTGTGAATTTTGTCAAAAGTGACAGGAGTATTTTGTAAGACTGGTCCAAGTTTCTTGCTGCGGCTGACGGAAAAAGCCACTTTTGGAGGTCTGCTCCCCTTCTGCCCCCTGTCCCCAATATCTCCCTTCAGTCCAGGATAGCCACGTGCCCCCTGTTCTCCCTTGGGCCCTTCTAGACCAGTGATGCCTTCCATGCCCTTTTGACCTTTTCGACCTCGGAGCCCTTTTGGACCTTCTGGTCCTGAAGGCCCAGTCACCCCTGTGGAGATAAGTGAATTAAATATAATGTTGGGTTTAGAATTGTCATAAATATTCTTGAATCATTGTGGAGTAACACTTCAGGTTCTTATGTTGTTTGCCAAACTTGGTAACTATCAGACAACCCTACAGTTTGAATGGAGAAGAGTGGACAGAGAGCTCTAAGGTGCGCCAATTTGCTGAACCCCCAGACCAGACTCTACTGATCGTAGGACTGAATCCCAGATTGGGCTTGTTTATAATCCTGACTGTGTCTGTACCATACCTGTGCTCATAAGTTTCACCAACGTGGTACAACCAACAATACTTGGGGCCTTCCACCAATGACATGCCCAAGGGGACTACATTTGTGACTGTAATTCTGTGATGTGTTACTTACGCATCAGTCGAAATTGACCTCCTTCTGTGTTGAAACTTGATGGTGAGGTATGATGTCACTCATGACCTTTGTGTTATGTATTAATGCACCACTGTGATCGTGAGAATAGACAAAATCTGTATCGGATCGATGCAAGAAAACTGCTATTTTAGGGTGTGTAAGAAACCGATTACTCCACTTGTGCCTGTCATATGCCATTTCTCGTATGAGTTGTTTCAAAACGTATCTAATAAAATTGCTTTGAAACAACTTGTGAGATAACTGGTATCTGACAGACAGACTGGTATCTTGTGTAGTAACGTCTATTTGACCACTACACCAAGGCCCATGTCACATGACCTGCTGTGATTGCCATGTTGCACAATGTAGACTTGCTCAAAGCTGTTGGTGGCTGGTCTAGTCATCATGTCCCTCAGACACAGCCCTGACCCATGACACACTGTTGTCTCCAGATGTTGCAATGTCATAGGTTGGCAATATCAGTGCAGATGAGTCTTCATAAGTGTTCTCTGTGTGAGGTGATGATTGATTTCACAAGGTATAATGCAACAGTATATCTAGTCGTGTTTCAAGCACCAGATATTGTGTCTTGACATTGGTCACATCAAATACCTGACATCATTAATGAATGTTTAAGAATGTATTGTTTCAGTTTTGGCTTGATCTTAACCTTAGGTTATTTCTGGCTTTTTCACAGTGTGGGAGGTCATGTGCATTGTCTGATAAACTAGATATGATCAGTGACAAAATGTATTTGATCATCACTACTGAGTAAGTGGACAAAGACAATCTGTTATATCCCGCATTAAAAGCTTTCCAGAAACACTGCATATTGTTTGTGTTGAGACGTGATAAACACCTAGACTTCTGAATGATCACTCATGAATGAATTATGCAAGTTCCTTGCAGATATTCCGACATGAAATATGGATTGATGACATCTTAACTTATGAGATCATGTGTCCTTACACGACATCAATAAATCAATGCAAACTGTCTCAGATGTGCATTAGGGATTAATGATGACCTTCTACCGTGGCTAGCTATATTTTTAAAGGGCTGCTGAAATGTGGAAAGCCACGAGCCCTGCTGGCAGCCCAATTTAGGCTTTGCCTCTTCATTTTGGTAATTTTTTTCAGTGACGTGAAATTATATTTGTGAGTTGGGTTTAATGCTGCTTTGAACATCAGCTTCATGTGGGAGGAAAGCCCAGAGATTTGCAGGCCCTAGGCAGTCCCAGCTTTCATGAAACCTACACACATACTATCAAAATCGGGGCAACTCATGACTAAGGGATGCAACTCTGCAGTGACTTGCGGCGCCTCCTGGGCCACTCATGCCAATGACTTTTGTTAGCGTATGTATGTTAAGATATACGAATTACTACTGGTGCCTGAAATTACTTTGTGTAAACCTGTACTGGTCAATTTTTCTAACTTCTACGGCCCGCATGACTTAGCAAGCTATCATGTTAATTTCTTATCTGCAGACATGATAGATGGATTTAAGTGTCCCTACCTTGATAGCCACGAATCCCCTTGCTGCCGACTTCTCCCTTACTTCCTTTGTGTCCCTCTTCCCCTCGTGTTCCATGCATACCGGGAAGTCCGGGAATTCCTTGTGGACCAGGAAGACCCCGGCAACAGTTGTTACATTGCTCATTCTCCTTCGAATAGTATGTTGCCAAGGCAACAGACAGCAAACAAGGGTAGATAGCCACCAACAGACACAACCCGACCTTCATGTTTGGATCTGCAATGAAAAGTCATTGTGCCATTATGAAGAGTATATTTGGCACCTGACCTTCTGGGCATTATATAACATTGTAGAAAATATATTTGACACAATAAGACGTTCTGAGTGTCTTGCTATGAATGGACAATATATAAAAGTGAAAAGTAGATTTGACATTTCACCTTTCGGGATTACTACAATAAATGGTTGATATCTCAATGTGAAAAGTATTTTGACACATGACCTTCGTGTTTGGTTCCTGCGATAAATGGTCGATGTCTCAATGTGAAAAGTATTTTTGACACATGACCTTCGTGTTTGGTTACTGCAATAAACGGTCGATATGTCAATGTGAATATGATGTGAGTATATTTGACACGTGACCTTAACTCTTTCATCACTGGCTGCCCCAGAGTTATGTCCCTTGAGACCCTGCAGTCCCTGACACTGACAAGGCCTGTACACTGGCCTCCCTGGCAGTATTATTGGAAAATCACACTATCATTTTTGATGCACTTTTTCTACCAGAAACTTGCTTTTAATATACATTTATCATATACCATTGTAAAGAGGATTAAGTATACTTTAACATTCTTTGTTGTTATTGTCTCTAACCTTTGTTATTTTCTAATTACAGATGTTTACAAGTGAAATAAAACTTGAAAACACTGAAAAAATGAAAACAGACAATGAATTTTGGCTCAAATTGTATTACAAATCACAAAAATAAATCACAGATACAAGGTAAACATAACACAGTGGTCTTGTCATCTTGGACGGCACAGGTAATCCCAGGTGTTACAGGTAAATTCTCTTCATGCACATCTGTAAACAAATAAACAAGTTTACAACTCTTGGTACTGACTTTGTTTTCTATACTGATGTCACATATTACTAATGATACACTTACAGCCTCTTAGGTAAACTCGTTAATTAACACAGGTAAACTTGTTAACGCAGGTAAACTCGTTAACACAGGTAAAAACACAAATATTTGATTTATTTTGTTCTTTTTCAGGATTTGAAACAAAAATTAAGTATTTAAGTTTTTAAAAAGTTATTTATCACATTATCTGAACATTGAACCACAGCTACTATAAGAATGACATCACAGGGAAGATAACACAGATTGACCTGAAGAGGGAAACATTGTAAAAGGACGGAAAGATCGTAAATTCAAGTTCTGCAAATATACAAGTTGTGATAACATATTTACAATACACTGCTATTTACAATTGCATAATAAATTAAATCAGTACTTTATTAAATCAATTAATAAATAAATAATCATTACAGTTACTAAAATTTAAATTAAGATGTAAAAAACAAGAAAACAAACATGAATATGGAAATAAATTTTATTCAAATTGAGCGAAATATAAGGACATACGACAAACCGGCAAACTACAATTCGGATTGCGATCAGAAAAATAAATTTAAAAAAAAACAAACAGATACGTCATGCCACTCACCTTTGTTGTTGTTGTGATCGCTCGTTCACGTGTAGGCTGCATTCTCATTCGTCGCACTGATAATCTGTTCAAACACAGAATCATTGTAAAACAGTTGGAAAAAATCAATAGCACGACTCTTCACTCACCGTGTCAATATATATTCTTGAATCCGGTCGCCTCTTCAAAATCCCTCATGTCTCCACTGTCGTGTGTCCCTCTGCCACTCCCATTCTCGAAAGTTGGCGGGGGGGGGGGGGGACACCTCGTCGAAACCGTCAAAATCTTCACGAAAATATTCGCGAAATTCCCTCTCCCCTTCGCGTAAATTATTCAATTCAAACACATTATTATTCCCGATATAGTCGATGTTAATCATCTGATCGCTATCCGAATCGTAGTTGGCCGCCATTACGCTTGATTTACGATTCAAGCGAGAAAAATACCTGTCGCGAAAACAGGTGACATACCCGCGATTTTCGCGCCAAAAAGACGGGGAAATTCCATCGAATGACGTGTCAATACGTGTAGATCTCGTTTCCATATTTAGAACGAGATTACACACGAGAAAGGAAGTAGAAAGAGCGATTTTGTAAACACGCTCGCGCCGCCCGATTTATCGGGCAGCCGGGTTCTGGGCCTCGGCTTATGCTGCCCGATTTTTCGGGCAGCCGGGTCCTGGGACACGGTTTATCCTGCCCGATAAATCGGGCAGTCGGGGCGAAAGGGTTAATGGGTGGTTTTTTTCTATGAAAGATCATTCTATCAGGGTGACCTAGTTGACATTGCAATTAGCTGTGCTGAGTTGTGTCCATTTGTCCTGCCAGGATCTGATGATTGTGTATTTGTTTCACCAGTGGTAAACATCTGCAGCCTTAGCCACTTCACAAAGCTGACACGTGGTGATATAACAGAAATGAGAAGTAACTTCAATGAGGACACCTACTCATATACTCTTCACACTTAGCAGCCATTAGGCCTGCCAGTCCCCAGCATGATGTTCTCAGACCTTGCCTTCTCTGGAATCACAATGCCATTGAAATAAACAGCAGAAAGGGAAGTCTTTATCAATTGATCTTCCCTTCACTAACCCACTAGATGGGCTGTCCTGGACGGTCCAACCTTAAACTGTCAGCGCATGTGGTATGCACGATACGATTGGTACATGTTACTATCGCCCCTACAGACAGTTAACCAGTATAGGCTTCACCTCAATCTGAAGCGTTCACACTGGTGTATGGACAGTATATCTTTTCACCTAAACAATGATGTTTCTGTTGTCATGTCCTGAAATAGATGTGATTCAGTGATATATCAGGAATGACCACGACTGCTTATATTGTAGAGTTAACCACTTGATAGCTGTTTAACGTTAGGCGGTGGGATCAGCTGATTGTTCGTTCCAGGTCGCTTTGTTGATGTTTTGCAATCAGTACTAAAAGTATTGCCCTTGATGTTTGAATATCACACTTTTAATATGAAGCATGTTCTCATTGCATGTGTACCCATATCAATGTTGTATTATCGCCGATCAGGCGATATGTGTGCATTTTAATACACAACTATAGGCAATGCGGTATGTAAAATGTGAATCTCAGGCAATGTTATGAATTTTCGCAGCAACACAAGTATTTATCAGGTATATATAACTGAGAGAGGTGAGAAAATGTTTCCAGAAATTGTAAAAGAAACTGGCACTGACAAATTGTCATCAACTACATATCATAATACAGTTTTCAAAGTAAATGAAAAATAAAAATGCTTCGTTTCCGTAGCATAACTCATTAACCGTTCAACATTTTTTCATCAAACTTTGCAGGTTTGTCAGGTACATGCTGAACTGGTGCCTTTTGCTATTTAGAAATTTTAGAAATTTTTATTTTTTACGTTTCCTAGGCAACAAGATGGACTAAGGTTCTGTGAGGGTAGAGTTCGTTTCCGGAGCATAACTCATAAACCGTTCAACATTTTTTCATCAAACCTGGCAGGTTTGTCAGGTACATGCTGAACTGGTGCCTTTTGCTATTTAGAAATTTTAGAAAGTTATATTTTTAATGTTTCCTTGGCAACAAGATGGACTTAGGTTCTGTGATAGTAGGGTTCGTTTCCGGAGCATAACTCATAAACCGTTCAATATTTTTAAGAACTTTTAACTCATCAAACTTTTAAGAAATTTTAATTTTTTTATGTTTCCATGGCAGCAAGATGGACTTAGGTTCCAAACTCTTCTTTTTTTTACAATTTCCATTTAGCAGTCATTATGTATAAGTATAATCTGAAATCTGTAAAACGAAAAACATGAATAAATGCATTTAGACATACCTACATGGAATGGTTGTGGGGTTAAATTTGTATTTATGGAATGATAAAAATAATTGATTATGAACTTTTTAAAACCATATTTGCTATATCGTAATAATATCCAATAAATAGACTTGCATTGTATATTTCCATTTGGTACACCGTATTCGACGTAATAAGCGCCGTTATCTAATCAGCGCCCACGGTGATATTTGCTAATATATTGGCTGGTGAACAATTATTTTTTTATGTTTCCATGGCAGCAAGATGGACTTAGGTTCCAAACTCTTTTTTTTTTTACAATTTCCATGACAAGTTCCACCTCGGTTAAGAAAGGTTAGGGTTTGTTTTAGAGGTGTAACGATACGGGAGGGTCGCGATACGATATGTATTGTGATACAGGGGTCGCGATACGATACGTATCACGATACAGTGTTTACTGGTACAAGCTAAGCCAAGTTGATGTCTTTCTGCTCTCTAAAAGATGGGACAAGTACAGTTGAAGAAGATATAAGGTGTTTATTTACTGTTATAGCAAATTGTCAGCAATACAGTATGTTTTCCTGAAACAACAAACTGGCTTTGAAACTGTTAAACGTATTTCATGTTTCAAAGTACAGTATTTTCTTGAGTATAGTGCGCACCCATGTATAATGCGCACCCCCCTCTAGCGGGTTCAATATGTTGGAAAAAAAGAAATTTGAATATTATGCGCAGAAAAAAATTACACCGTGCCCCTTCAGCGAAGTCCGGCAAACGAACGGGTGATGAGAAACTTCGTCAGTACAAATTCGAAATTTGAGATAAAAAATCACCAGACATGTTGATTTACCGTTTAAATTGTATGTTTTGTTCAGCTATAGCTAGGCATTGTTTTATATCCAGGGATTAAGATTACCTTGTGTATTTTCTCGTAAACTAAGCCGCACACAGCAATCAGCTGTACACACGTTTTCTTGGAATCTACTGGTGATTCGGTCAAGACACACCTAATGATATAACTTTACAGGATTTTAATGCAAGAATCGGCAAAAGTTGTATCTGAAACTATTTTTTTATCAGGAATAATATATTCCAATATCTTGTTAATTTAGATGCAGCTTTTACTAAACATATTTAAAATAATAATAACCCTAAGCGAAGCAGCTGATCGCTATTGCCAGGTATTATTTTTTACATGGAACCAGTCTGACCAGTCACCGTCAAGGCTCCTGTGTGCGTGATCGCGAGAATTACGTATTGACATAGAATCGACCAAAAAAACAA